ATATGACGTTATTTTATGTATACTAGTACTTCTACGCCGGAAAATGTGGGGCGTGTATAGACCACCATAGGCCGTGGTTTGTGGTGAGCGTAAGTATAATTACACATAGTTTGTACACATACCTGTATATACTGACGTACTGAGCAGGTACATGAACGTTGCTACGTGGGCTAGAGTATATTTTTAGCGTGATAGAAAGCAGTGCGCTATTCTCGAGGTGTAGTATGGTTCTTACCTTTCCGCGCAAAATCGAGCAGGTGCGACAAGCGGGCAGCATTTGCAAGAATTTACTGTAAAACTCGGTAATACTGCAAATCGGAGATCATGATATCAGGGTATCCGGTCCTCCACGTCTCCGGAAAAATTCCATTTTCAGCTATGTCCGATTCACGTGCACCAACACAGCAAAAAGTACATTTCGGGCCGGCATTGGATTACGGGAAAAAATTAATACCTTTAACCTATCTAAAATGCGTGTTAATATAACGTGCGTGCGTGTTATGCGTGTGCGTATCTACTAACAGTTAACTTTGTACATTCCAGTTTTCGCTGTAAAATGCTCACGTCTTTCTTTGTATACGTCTGGTCAAAAATTATGCTTCCGAAACTATGCTAGTAGATTTTGCCTCATACAGTGATGTGTTACCGTTACCAAGACAACTGTTGGTTTTATCGTTGTACGATCGCATGTGAAGGGCAGCTATAAAGCACGCAACTCTGACACATCTTCAGCGAAGGCGTCACTGGCTTATACTGTCGTGAACAGTTCGCGTTAACAATAACGTCACGGCTGTGTAATCAGTTCAAATCAACGTTTACAAAAAACTTGTGAGTGTTTTGTACCGCCAATTTAAATATTTATGTAATCATAATAATGGAGGCTTATAACAGACAGCAAATCGGACACGACAATTATGTACTGTGATACAAATACAAATACTTTGCAGTTGGTACTTCGAAGCCACTGTAGTGTAGCAGTTCATAGGTTAGAGGCATACACAAAAACGTCTGAACTGCTCGAACTTCCTTACTCCCGGCATCGTACATAGTAGCACCTTTCCCGATTACCGACCGTCGTTTAGAAGAATATACTAATCTTCTACAACGCGGTCGAAAACGGGACCGGGCAATTGGATCGAATAGTACTTTGCTAGATCGCTTCACAAAATTAAGTAAAAGCCAACAAGAACGACGCTCGTTTTTGCTGTTAACTAGTGTAGACATAACATACATTTTTCGCAAAGCCTTACCAGTACACCTAAACAGAGCTATAACCGCAAAAAAATCACGGAACGTTTCTCGGACGATTTATCATAGCAGCCAAGTTTACTACGTGTTTCACTTGAAGAAATGTCCAGAATGATTTTATATTTAATTATTTATGTTCGCAAACTGGTTATTCTTTTCGCGGTCTGTTCACTCTTAAAAACAGGAACATCTTCATGAAGCGCTACTTAAAACATCGTTTCAGTTTGTTACCTAGAATATGCTAAGACACTGGAAGGCAAAAAAAATTTATGGATGAAAAATACTTTCAAAATTAAATTCAAAATGACTAATTTGATCGAAAAATAAATGGAAATTCACAACTAAAATTTGAATAAAAACATCAGATAGGTTGAAATAGGGTTCTTAGAATTTAAATATGATAAAGAATATGTATTTTAAATTTTAACTTCTGCTTTGCGAAATTATAAGAAAACCGATGGTTCTGAAGGAAAAGTTCGCTGCGAGCAGTGCGCAAGAAGTGTGTACTACGAGTAAGTATGAATGGATAGTTATGTCAATTCATGTAATCATTTCCGATGTCTTTTTTTTCAGGAAACAAGGCAGTGTGCTATGGCTTTAGCACACCGCCAACTATTACCGTCTTGGATTAAGGACAGACCCCAGGGAAACTGGGTAACGGAAGCAGTCGCAGCGGCTTTAATGCAACCACCGAGGCCTGTCTGGGTGCGCAATAACCAGGAAACCACTACCCACACTGCTGATTCCTGTGTTGCGCCAGTTACCTTGGGATGTAAAGGCGGGAACGTGCTAATGTTCTTCGGAGGCGACATCGATTCAACTGGTGGGTTTAGCCATGCGATGCTGGTATTCTTCACTAAGCGCAGCACATTGGAAATAAACCGAGAGAAGCTGCAATTATTGTTCAAGTATCTGTTCAGCGGCGGATGACATCAAGATGCTGCAAATTTCACGGTTCTGTTACATTTTTGCTACGCACATTTACTGTGTTTAACTAAACGCATCACTGGACAAAAGGTCGCAACTGATTTTGCATTTAGTTATGTTCGCAAATTGACTGTTTTTTGTAGTCTGTTAACACTTCAAAGTTCAAACCAACAGTCACTGCATGTGGCGTTACCTAAAACGCCGTTGCTCTTCGTGACCCAGAATATACTGAGCATATAATATATACATTGGAATGCCTTGCTGAGCATTTCCCCAGATGAGCTGCAAAGGGAATTGGAGAACCTTTCGGAAACGATATTCCCAGAAGAGATTGGCCGCGTCCTGCTGCACAAGAATAATAACAACACCAAAATAACGTTATTTTACAAAATACCACAGGGAATGGTGTCAGCTAAAGCCCTAGCAGAAGCCGGTTTCTCCCTTCTAAGCCTCCGATAACAGTAATCTGCGATGGCTTGCTAGTTTCAGTTTCTAATGTTGTCGAACAAAAACATTTTCGTAACGCATACGAATTTAGCGTGTGCACTCCTGAGAAATATAGACTTTTCGTTTTCGTTGCGAAAACGTAAAATCTCTGCCTTCTAGTTTTTTTACAAAACCTAAAAATTTCAGAGTTGATTTTTTGTTAGAATAACGAGAAAATTTTACAAAATCTTACACGAAAATATTTTCGTAACGGACGGCAAAACTACCACTTTCCACGTCAGGTATAACATGGGGTTAGGTGCCTGCCATACAGCTTACCCTTTACATCTACATGTACCTATGTAACGAAATTTGTCACAATTGTATTTACCTCAACCGGTGGATATTTCTCAACATGCAGAGCTTTAATTTGGAACTCGTGCAGACATCCTTATGTTAATCTGATAGATTTGAAATTACTCATCGATATGCAAGGTTTGATATACGAGCGAGTTCACCACAGTGAACCAAGACGGAATTGTAGCGATTCCATACCGTCACTACGGTCAAACCAAGCGTCAACTGAACTAGGTTGCACCGTCATGTAGGTGTCAAGCTGGATATCGGGTGGACGCCGTAGCATGGTTAAAATTCGTTAATCGGTGGGCTGAGAATAAGCCGCTTATAAAAGACAGACATTACCGTTTTATTAGGAAAGAACCTTACAAAAATGCTCCTTTCAGAGAAGGCACATACCGTAGTTCAACAAACGTTGAAAACAAGCGCCCGTGCGAAAATGGAAATTAATGTCATTGCTAATAATAAATGTCATAATAATAATAATGAATTAATAATAATAAATGCTAATAATAATAAATGCTAATAATAAATTAATGTCATAATAAAGCAACTTACAGTTCGTATATGCTTCTGCACTGCACAGTATAAGGAGCGTATAGCACTGATTTAAAAATGATAGGTTTATTACCGAAAGCTGTGCAGCAAATTCGAATTAGTATGTTCTCACGTTTAAAGATTCTCTATAAGTCCGTTTTCGAATACCAAGAAACCACAATAACCTGGTACCCCGCTTCCATAGAGACATGGGATTCAGCCACATCTTCGTCAAGCTAACATGTACGCCAATACAGTTGAACGTGCAGTAGAATGAGAAAAGTATGGCTTGCAAGTTAGCGTTCAGCATTTTTGCACCGAAAAGGTCACAGTTTTTCATGCTGATATCTGGGCTTATAGCGCTGAACACTGGCAGCAATAGCAAGCATTAAAATTCCCTATATTGGGTTTTTTTTTAAATGTAGAACATCTGTATTTATTAAGTACCACCTAAATGTGTTTCCGAAGCTATGGTGTGTGCAACAGTTTCCAGCTCGATCATTCCGTAACATGTTGCTACGACAACTGTGTGCCTGTTGGTAATAATACGACAATTGTATATTAGTTATCACCGTGCGCATGAAAAGCGTGGACAACATTAAAGCACGAGCACTGCTACGTCTGCAGAATTGATACAAGTATTAGTTATAGTTTTTTATACAGATACCGTACGCGCTTTGCGTAGGTACGTCACCAAACGAACCTCTTTAGTCTTTGGATTTGTTTGTCTCTTTAAAGGACTGGTCTTTAAAAGACATGTATAAACTGCAATGTCTGTATGTCTGTTACATTATGTTCTGTCTGTTTATTTATATGTCTGAAATATGTATATGGTAATGATATTAAACGAGGCAGGATCGGCAGCCTACATTAAATGTAGTGTGTATGTGACTATCGTTCTGTATTACTGTAGCCATCTGTATAGCCTCTTGGCATTTCAGTGTTAACTGTTAAGGCCACAAAATAAAATTCCAGCACCCGTAATTTTGGAAGCACAAGCTCTCAGAAATTCCATAAAAAGAGATACAATAATACTGCAACAATCTGTAGTAAATTGCAATATGGATAGCACATCAGTCGACATGCGCAAAAACCCGCCGGAAGTATAAAAACAGTATTGTACATCTCACCATGGTCAATGTGCTAACGTAACAGAACTCAAAATCGGACAACTCTGTTTGTCAGAAGTCTCTAAAAGGGAGCTGAAAGTGTTACCTTGCGAGATTTAGCACGTGGTACATTCACGTACGCAGTCCCCTATAAACAGTATCTAACGGCTGCACGTACGGCCGGAAAAGGTGTTATAGTGCTGTTTTCTTGGTTAATTTCCACATCCGGTACAACGAGTGTGTCGCGAGTAACTGCGAACGGATCAAAGAACGTCAGAACGCGGTCACTTACTTAACTTAACTGTTTCCGCATTTACGAGGCACCGCACCAGTACTGATGGATCATTTGTATAAAAACCGTCAAGCGCTTCTTGGAAAGCAAAAATTTAAAAAATACCTTACACTAAAGACTCTTTCCTTCCTTTCCAGTAACGTAGCAATGATGCCACAACTGCCGCTAGTTCTATATTTGCTATCTGCAACCTTGCCCATTACTCTGGGTAAGTTGACTCGAAGGTCCGGTATGCGAGTTTTCTTATATATCACGATGCGTGTATAGGCGGTGGCTCCGATGGAACATACGGAAGCGGTGGAGCGACCAACGGCCAGATGCAGTTGAACACTCAGCAAGCAGTCGCCCTGGACAACGGTAACCATAACTCCGTGGCTCAATCACAGGGCGTCATCGCCGGCACAACGCTGAACATTGGGGGGAACGCTGGTACCAGTCTGCAGTTTGATCCTACGTTGATCGCTAAACCAGCGCCAGTCTCCGGCAGTAACTCCGTCAATGCCGATGGTAGTGCCATGACCGGGGTTCTGCAGAGCAACCAGAACAGTCAGTCCAACAGCAGCGATGGGCAACACCACAAGGTCACCAGCCAGTCGCAGATCACCGGCAACGGCACGGGAATGCACATGAGTAATAGTGCCAGTGGCAGTCTGTATCTGCTCAGCACCACCCCGGTGTACCCTACCCGTTTCCCGTGCATGGGTGTCACGTGTAACGGTTACGGCTGCATGGTGATTGAGAACGGGTATTCCTGCTACTGTGCATGCCCTACAACGCGGTACTACTATGATTCAACATACCCTCGGCACCACCCACTCCGTCGCCTCAAACAGCGTATCAGCGCCAGAGAAGACCTGCGACCTCGACGAACCCTAAGGGACATAATGCTTTGAAGGGTCGCGAAAAGCATATGGTTACGCGGGATAACTCTAACCAACACGGTCGTACCTCCATGCCCCGCAATTCCCGCTCCAAAGCATGATCAGCGTTATGTACTCTGTACTCTGATAATCTCTACTCGATGTTAACTGTCGATGCTAATTTATGCGTTCCAGAGCGTCTCTTTTGCGCGATGCAACTGTACATGTGAGGGACCGAGTTTGCAGGCCGGGGCAAATAATTCTAATTATTATAGCATTTTTTGCTTTTGATAGTCTGTGGAATAATCAGATTCTAAGCTGTTATAGCGTGGTAGTGGCTGCACTACAGCAGGAAAGCTATAAAAAGTTAGCAGAAACCAGCAGGATATCCACAAAGCTCGTAGTCTCAAACTGACAAGGATCCCGCCAGATGGCATTTATACTCTTCGCAAAAGTTTCCCTGCGCTTCAAGGACGGCAGAAAAATAGTAGGAAAATTAATATGACAATAAACTGAAAACTGGCCAAGAAACAAAAACACTGCCGATACCGCATTCGCGTATTAACATAACATATATACGAAGTACATATCAGAGTTCGAGCGGGAGAAATTTGAACGAGTATTTCTCGATACGTGCCGAATGCTCCTGGAAATGCAGGTACCTATAAACAAAAAAAAAGCTACCTTAAAACGCAATTTACAACATATCCAATAAACATTCAGGAAACGGGAAAAATAGTCACGCCAGAAACAGGCCTCTTGGCAGTGGGGCACGTGAGGGAATGTATAAGTTCTTAAAATTAATCGGGCCAGCAGTTTATACGTTAAATTTTAATTCTTCAGTACTCAACTGTCAACGTTTGCAGTTGTACAACTTGTACTTGATTTGGCCCTTAAGTCTGTTGACTACTGTAAATCAGAAAACTATAAGTATCTGTAAATCACGTTAGATATGTACGTAGTAACGTGGAGTTCATCTGTGTTTGATTTTTTTCCTGGCAAATTATCTAGAAAAGTGCGCAGTCAGCAAACACCGTGGCGAATAAAAATGCCGAACGGAGTGGCGCAGTTGAACAACCATATTGCTCCTTTTTTGCGCTGTTCGTAATTACATTACATCCCGGTCGACGCTCCTGTTTCTGAAATTTCTGAAAGATATTTTCCGGGGATTAATACGCACTGAAAGCCGCGGGAAACCAATGTCTTTTAGCCATCACTACGCTTGGTTTGTACGATACTTGTCAAATGGTTTTTTAATCCATATAAACAACACCGTAGCAAAGCTGCCAAGAAAAACAACATCGGGCACAAATCATTCCCGATCAGCCAATCTAAAAACTAAAAAAACGTACTTGTCAAATGGTTTGTACGATACTGGTCAATAATCGTTGTTTTTACGGTCTGCTTGCGCTTCCGGCACAACGAATGTGCCGCTGGTAGCGATGAAGTTCGAACAGATCAAAGAACACCAAACGTTTGTCTGTCGCTTATTTAACTGCTTCCGTATTTACCAGCTAGCGCGGCATAAATGTACTGCCGCTGGTGGGCCATTTGTATAAAAAGCACCAAACGTTTCTTCGAAAACGACACATACAGAATTCTGAGAAGCATTCCACATTAGGAAATCTTGAGTCTCTTTCATTTCAGTAATAATGATGCAGCATTTGCCGCTCACTGTGTTGCTATTAGCATTAGCTATAGCTGTTATCTTGCCCCTTGCTCGTGGTATGCATCTTTTAGCTAATACAAAACAGAAGTACGCTTCATAATCACGGTGTATTTGCATGTGATACCGGCGGATCCAGTCAGTCGTCCGCCAGTGGTGGAGCGACCGACGGCCAGGTGCAGTTAAACAGCCAGCACGCCACCACCCTGGACAACGGCAACCCGAACTCCGTGGGCCAATCCCAGGCCCTCATCTCCGGCACGACGTTGAACATGGGGAGCAGTAGCAGCTCCAGCCTGCAGTATGACCCTACCGTGATTGCCAACCCCGCGTTCGCCTCCGGCAACAGCTTGGTGACGGGCTTTGGCAACGCTATGACCGGTGTCGTGCAGCACAACCAAATCAGCCGCTCCAACAGTACCAGCGACGGCCAGCACCACAATGTGGCCGGGCAGTCGCAGATCGCCGGCAACGGCACGGGAATGTCCATGGTTAGTGCGGCGGAGGGCGGCCTGTCGCTGTTCAATCCCGCCACGACCACGCCCTACCCGACACGCTTTCCCTGTAATGGACTCATCTGCTACGGCGACAGTTGCCGAGTGATTGAGACGGGACCGTATAGCTGCTACTGTTCCTGTGAATCAACGCCGTATTACTATTACTCAACATATCCATCGGCGGCTTCGCCAGCGCCTTTTGCAGCGGAAAGTTCACGCGTTGCCCAACGACAGAGAAGACCTGGTGTCCCGATCAGCGCAAAAGGTCACGCTGCGCAAAAGAGTCGGGAAAAGGCGGCAACGCGTAGGAAGCTTCGAGCGGGAGGCGGTAGCACTCCATCGCCTCGTAATTCTCGCAGCAAAGTATGAAGTTAATTTTCTGGACCTAAACATCCAACTAAATGTATTATTGCTAAGTTATTACGTTTGTGTTCGCACTTGTTTATCTTCCTATGATAACAAGTCACACGATACCGATGCAGGAAGGATCTGCCATCTTTGTTGCCAAGGCTCTGGCAGATTCTGGTTGCCTCATATATTTTTCCTCATACACTATACAGTATACAGTAACGCGTAGCCAAGAGAACGGCTATGTAATCAGAACAAATCAACGCTTACAGAAAACTTGTGAATGTTTTGTTCCGCCAGCTTGAATACTTGCGCAATCATATGAAGCCTTTTAACAAAATTTAATAGCATATCGGACACCACAACAATGTACTGTGGTAGTGGTACAAACACAAATACTTTGTAGTTTGTACATCTTACTTTCCTGTTTCATAAGTTAATAAGTGGAGAGAATGGTGAAGCCACTACAGTGTAGCAGTTCCTAGATTACTCAAAAATTTAAACTGCTCGAACTTCCTTACTTCCGGTATCGCAGTAGCACCTTTCCCGATTACCGATCGTCGTTTAGAAGATTGTGTTAATCTTCTACAACGCGGTCGAAAACGGGACTGGGCACACTGGAATAACGTTTGATGCTAGAATCTGATCAGATTTGCAAAATTAAAATAAGAAGCTAACCAGAACACGTTACCTGTATCGGTTTCCCTGCATCGCAGAACTACGTATAATAATTACAGATACCTTTATTATCGAAAACTTAAACTGGTAGAACGAGAAATTAAAATCTGTTTTGACAAAGTCGTCAGCGTCTACTTTGTGATTTTACTGTTGATGTTCTGCATGTCGAATCCGTGCAGTTTGGTGACAGAGCCGGCGTGACATACACCGGAGCCAGTATGTGTTGTTATCGGTATGAAAAATGGAGAGCGGACCATCTTCAAACTTTGAAACGTGTTTTCGACTGTACTGACGAAAGATTTGCACGAGTTCGTAAAATCGTGTGGGCTGCCTTCGGAGTTGCTGATCCCAATACCGCTGCTTCCCGGGGCAGGAACCGTTGGATCCCGAGCGATTGTCTCGGTTCGTCCTAACGATGACATGTCTTGTATGCGCCGCCCTAACACATATATAATTGTCAACGCCAAAACGGGGACTGGAAAGTCTGGGCTTTGAACACAATTCTGGAACGTGTATTGAATACAGTTGAAACTATATCAGGAATCGAAGTCATTACTCCAAAGAGCACCCGAGCATCCGTATTGTCATTAGTGACGAAGTGCAAAAAGGCAGTGCAAACTGGAATAACATTACGCTAGATCGCTTTGCAGAATTAAGTAAAAACCAACAAAAACGCTGCTCGTTTTTGTTTTTGCTATTAAATGGTGGTGGACATAAACATTTTTTGCCAAGCCTCACCAGCCGGATTTGCTGCCGGAGTCCATAGTGCTACAACGACAAGACATCTAATGCAACGGGAGACCTGACACAGTTTTGCGAAAGAGGAATGCACCCGGGAGCGATAGCGGGCGCCAGCGGCGGAAGAGGCCGGTTTATTAGCGTCAGAAGAACCGCAACCGTGAACCGCGCGGCAACGAAACTGCCGAACAGACCCGAACGAGGCCTTGTCGGTGTGCAAGCCCAATAATCCAATGGAATAATCTGTATCGGAATTGTATGAAAAAATTTATACAGATTAAAATGGACAGTCATCACTGGTACGGAAGATCATACACAAAAAGTCTGCAAGTAAGCTGTAATTTCTCCAATGTGAAACAGGAACTCTTTACTAAGCCAGATGAACAAGGAAGAACAGACCTCCATCATCCAGGTTCAGCGAACTGTTGCTTAAACCCGCATTATTGCAAAATATCCTAAATGGGAGATACAAACTGCGCGGCATATCAGAATGTGTGGGAGAAAATCCGCGGCGACACCATTCGCGCCGCTTGGGATTATTCAATTAACTGATTTTGCTGGTATTGAGTCTACTCGGTAAACAGTTTAATAGGCTTTTACGGTACGCTTACCATTACTGACCATGATTACTTTACTACTGTACATGTTTCACTCGACGAGATGTCCGGAATGATTTTGCATTTATTTATGTTTGCAAACTTTGCAAACTGGTTGTTCTTTCTGCAGTTTACACTTCAGAGCAGGAATCGCTTCATAGGGCGTTACTTAAAACGCCGTTTCAGTACGTGAACCAGAATATGCTGAGACACTGAAACGTATTCAAGAGAATTTCCCCAGATGACCTGCAAAGGGAAGTGGAGAATCCTTCGTAACTGAAAATCCCAGAAGAGCGACTTACTGCACAAGAATAACAACAACACCAAAACAGCGGTGTTTTATAAAATACCGCCGGAAATGGTGTCAGTTAATGCCCTAGCAGAAGCCGGTTTATCCGCGCTGAGCCACCGTTAACAGTAAACCGCGAGCTTGCTAGTTTGAATTTCTAGTGTTGTCCAAAACGAAAAAAACTTCCGTTTACGTAACGCATACGAATTTAACGTGTACTTTCGTGAGAAATAGAGACCTTTCGTTTTCGTTACGAAAACAACAAATCTCTGCCTTTTAATTTTCGGAACAAAAACTAAAATTTCAGAGTTAATTTTTCGTTACGATAACGAAAATTTCGCAAAAAAATATTCGTACATGAAAATATTTTCATAACGAACGGCAAAACTGCCACTTTCGACGTTAGATATAACATGCTTACGATAATCCTTTACATCTTACGAAATATGTCACGATTGTACATGTATTTACCTCAACGGGCGGATGTTTCTCGACATGCGAGCTTTAATTTGGAACAGGTACAGATATCCTTATGTTATCGGATAGATTTGAAATTACTCATTGATATGCAAAGTTCTTATACGAACGAGTCCTCTACAGCTAAGAAAGACGGAATCGTGGCGATTCTCTACCGTCACTGCGGTCAAATCCAGCGGCAATTAAACTAGGTTGCGCCGTCATGCGGGTGGTCAAGTTGGATCGGGTCTACGCCGTATCATGGTTAAAATTCGTTAATCTGTCAGCTGAGAGTAAGCCGTTTATAAAAGGCAGGCACTACTGTTTTAGGAAGGACCTTAGGAGGACCTTATCCCTAATTCCAAGCAACCGGCCGAGATGAAAATTAAGGTCGCTGCTAAACATAAACCAATGTACGCTATGACATTGTACAGTATAAGAAGCGCATGGCACTGATATAATAAATATTGGTTTTACCAAAAGCAGTATAGCATACTTTTATTACTCGTGCGTTCAGAGATGTTCTATAACTTCATTGCCGAAAAAAAAAGAAACTGTAATAATATTTTTCTACCTGGTACGCCGCTTCCTTAGAGGCATGGAAATATGATGGAATAGAGGCACATCTTCGTCCGGTTAATCATGTCCTCTAATACAGCTCAATGTATCTGTACATGTAGAATGTCCGTAAAGTAGAACTTGCAAGTTTGCGTTCAGCATTTTTGCACCTAAAAAAGGTTCACAGTTTTTACTGCTGATATCTGTGCAAATAGCATTGAACTTTGTCAGCAATTACAAGCATTAAAATTTGCGCTGTAGATTTTTTGAGTACGGAATTTGCTTAATGAGTACCTGAATATGTTTCTGCAGCTGTGCTACAACTTCCAGTTCATATTGTCATTCGTTGCCAGGAAAACTGTTGCCTGTTGGTAATTATTATCATTCTGTTGTCACCGTACACCGGTACACGTGAAAAGCGCAGGCGCAAAGCGCAATCGAAAAGCGCCACCGTTCATATGCCGAAATGCGTGTCTGACCATTTGGGCAGGGGGAAATTTCGGCATAGAGCGTTTCGGCATGCTACTGTTTCGCAAAAATTGTTTTTTGTGTGACTATTTTGTCCAAATCTTTCTTTGGAACGTTTTTAAACAGTAACCATAATGTTATAACCATTTTTGAATTTCTTGAATTTCTTAAGTTTTTTATGTTTTCTTATGTTTTTTTATGTCCTTATGCCTAAATGGTAGGGCGGCGATAACTCAGTTATCATCGTACACATGAAAAGCTTGCCGTTTTAAAACAAGAACACTGCTACGTCTGCAGAAATGTTAACAGATATAGTACTGAATATTATGTTGTATCCATTTGAAGCTGTTGAGAAAATGGAAAAAGTGCGCCTATCATTCGCACTTACTTGGAAGCCGGTAATTTCCTCTGCTCTGCTCAATTTCCTACGCTTCGAAAACGTGCAAGTTATAAAGCAAAGTGCGCCAATAGAGCCAAAGTGCTGGAATTACATAATTATAAGATTTATGGCACGTATTAAGTGTTTTCGCGCACAGCATTTCTATAGTGAAAAAATCTATGTTCAGAAGAAAATTTTTAATTTATTGTTTAATTTTGTGGTATTGAACTTTTGCTGGTGACTGATTTCACAAATACTAAGATTTTAGCTATAGATAATAGCTATAGATTTGCTATAGATTTTAGCTATAAATATTACATTAATAATTTTTGAGGTCCTTGAATATGTATGTTGTGTTAGGCTGGTAACTGTTCAATAAGCTGAAACCCATACAGTAATACGCTGCCAAGATACACAACTGCTGGTTATTATTATTATCGCATAAGTACCGTTATTATCGTAAGACTGGAGCGTTTTAAAATGCGAACCTGCTACATCTGCAGTTAAAGTGTTACAACTACAAGCGTATTTACTGGGGAGCCTTTGTGTGGTTTCGAAGTGTTAATGGTTGCTCTGTATTCTGTGTCACGCCAAGGGTGGTCTTCGTAGCCACAGCCGTGCACTTAAATGCGGCACTGTCAGTTTTTATTGGAGTACACGGACTATTGTACTATTAAATCAATGTACCGTATCCGCATGGTCATAAACTCATAATATTCTTCTGTTCAAAATATTGTCTAAAGGAAGCTTCAGATATTATTGCAAAGTAATAGCCGCCGTTAGTGTCGAATTACTATTTGGTGGTCATGAGTCAATAGATCGGAGACCGCAGTCTCTCTCCTGCTGGCAGGAGATATTATCTAAAAATGTTCCATTTAAGTTACTTGCAGATCTGCTTGTTGTGTGCGTCGACTTAGCAGCTTGGAAAGTACTTACGACTTGTTTTATAGCTATGAGTACGCTCTTTATAGCACACGGACTTTTTTTAGATCCCAATATGCCTTGACTGCCAGGCAAACAAGATACATAATCGTCAAAGGTTCTATTGCTTAAGGTACAGAACTGGTCAGCTGTACTTGCTTGTCTGGAAGCATGTTCCTACAGTTGTATACTCAGTGCTCATATTACCCTCGCCTTCCTAAGCGTTCCGTTTTTGTGACCTTTACCTGCAGTGCAGATATTTCTTTGGAGAACTGGACGAGAGTTAATGTATGTTCCGAAAAATCTCAGCTTACATTATTTCCCGTCGATGAAAATCCTTATAATAATGTGAACTCGAATTATGTAAGTATCTGTCACTCTATAATACGGGCACGGGACACCTTGGATTCACTGGTAGCACAGTTACTGCTGTCGCCACGGTTTCGGCATCAACTACTCTAATCGAAACGGTAGATGGTAGCGAAACCGTAGACGGAAGCGTATCTGCAAAGCTGCGATGCTATAATATGGTGGTTGACGGTTGTGCTAATTTCAGCCAGACAGATTTGAAGGATATCACGGATCTTATGTATGTTAAACGCCATAGTCTTGGCTCGAGGTGTTCCTTGTGACTGGATAGTGTAAACTACATTCTGTTGACATGCAGTCTGATTTGGCGCCGCATGGGGACTGGTGCTCGGCTACCCGATACGCAGAGAAAAACTCCTGATCAGCCAAGCGGAACAAAGCACTAAGTCAATAAATTAACTGAAAAACACGACAAAGCGAATGAGTGTCGTTATGTCTTGCCTTAGCATTCCATCAGCAGATACAGTCAACCGGACAATTTCAGCATTTCTAGTAGCAGGCTAGCATCAAACATTTTACGTATTACGTTCTTCTGAATGGAAACCGTAATTGCCAAAGTCATGCTATATTGTCCAGCTGGATATCAAGATTCTTTTTGTAATCAGCAATGTTGTTGCGGCCTTGCGTTGTAGCGTGCAAGATATTGTTCCTGTCGATGTCGTAGGTCAGCTCAAACTGGCATTCTCCTTTCATCCGCTTCGGCAAGTTAGGAATAGTAAACAGGCCGATTCTGAACTTGTCCACATGGAATCCCCGCTTACTCTGGTATATCTGGAACGTCACCGCGGTCTGGTTATCGTAGGCTGTCTCGAAGCATTCCGTAGTTTTGTACGGGTACGGCTGTCCTCGGGGAATCAGTTCGGCTATGCGTGTCGTTCTCCACAGCCAGTTGCGATGCAGCACCTCGATCCCATAGGGATAGGCGGTGACCTCCTGAAAGTTGCTGGGCTGACCGTTGTTTAGGCGGTACGATTGAATGGCGGCGCCATGCGCGATGGCTTCATCGGGGTTGGCGTCAGCGCACACCACGTTGCTGCGACCGAAAAACTTTTCCAGGGTCGATTTCACAGCGGGCAGTTTTGAGCTGCCACCCACCAGAATAACACGGTCAATATCTTTCACCGTTAGCTGCGTGGCCTCCAGAGCGCCCTTCACGGGCTCGAGGATTTTCTTCAGAAGACCTTGGAACATTCCCTGAAATGTCTCCTTCGTCAACTCGGCCTCGTACTGTATGCCGAAAAGAGCTTCCAGCGAATAAACCGTTTCATGGTATCGCGGAATATCGTTAGACAAGGCAATCTTTGCCTGTTCCGCCACCAGTTTGAGCAGTGCACGGGCTTTATTATCCTCAGACAGATTGTGCCCGGTCTTCTTTTCGATATCCTCCAGAAAATACTGGACAATTTCGTTGTCAAAATCCTCACCACCCAAATACATGTTCCCATCCGTGGTCAGCATGCGGTACTCCTCGCGACCCTCAACCTTCATAATCGTAATGTCCAGGGTTCCACCACCGAAATCGAAAACCATAACGGTGCACTGCTGATCAATCACTCCGCCATACGCAATGGCCGCTGCGGTGGGCTCGTTTAGCAGGCTGACATTGCGGAAACCGGCTTGTCGGGCCGCGTTGAGTGTGGCCTGTCGCTGCGTTTCCATGAAGTTGGCGGGAATGGTTACCACAACGCCATTGACTTCGCTGCCTAAGAAGTCTTCTGCTAGGCCCTTCAGAGAGCGTAGAATCGTAGCACTCACATCCTCCGGATGCATAATATTTTTTCCCATACAAGGTCGCCCGATGCGTTCACCTGTTCCACCTGCGATAATCAAGATGAAAGATTACGCTTGACTACTTGCGCCGCTTATTTGCCTTACCGACGTTTACGGCTTACTAGTAGAAGTTGCTACTGTATATTCGTCCGACACTGTAGCACAGAACTGACAGAAGCGTAACGGTTTGCATAAATATGCCGAAAATTGAGATGGACAAAAATTTCACCCATAACCCTTAATTTCCACACCAGTACATAATACAACCATTTGGCTACACAATGTCATAAAGCAATGCAAAAAAGTGGTTTGAGAGTGCGCGAAAACGGAAGTTCTCGTTCAGATACCATCATACCGGTACATAAGTTTGGTGCATACTGACATTTACCAATTTTGAATTATATTGCCTATTTGAGATTACGGTATTATTTGTAAACACATCGGGCGTTAATTATCGGACTTCTTCTCTCTAACGCACCATATATTAGCAGTACGCAGTCCACATACTGTAGGCTTACCTGTATAGCCGTTGTTCCGCTATCGTTAATTATTTTAAACGGCATAAGACGACGCTCACTCTCAACAGCTGTATCCTGGAAGTTGCGCCCAATCAGTCGCTTGGCATTACGAACGGTGTTCTGTGGATTCTCTGGGCTTTGCTTTTTGGCAAATTTTCCCACATTTTCGCCGTCATTCTCATAGCGGACCCAGCTGGGCGTGGTGTTATCACCCGCTTTGTTTTTTACCACCTGCGCACTGCGTCCATATTTGTAGACATACAGACAACAGTGCGTGGTGCCCAAATCAATTCCCACACCGTCCGCCATCAGCCTGTTGTGGATGGCTGTAGAAATAACTGCACCTTTAAGGGCTTTCAAGGGAAGTATTCCTCGTTGCTTACTCAAAAATTCTTATGTTAACTCTGGCGAGCAAGCGCAATGTTTGCTCACCTGATTAACTCGGGCTTCCTGCAAAGCGTAATTTATGGTCACGATGTCAGAACTTTATGTTTATACTCCTACAATTACGATAACTGCACATGAAAACCAAAGTAAACGCAAATAATAAACTGGAATAATTTATGAGCGTGATATCAAAACAATGTGTGCATATAATAATATGATAAGGAAGACGAAGATCTGAGAACTGTAAATATGCATTTGGAATAAATCATTGTGGATAAATTTGGCACTCTTTCGGTATTTGTCTCAGGAGTGCAGTAAATCATTTCGATAACAGGATCGCACTGCCATACATAGTATTTACTGACCATTCATCAACTTCGTGCAAACTCTAAAGTGTCTGTCTTTGCCGCCATTAGATTTTATGCCGTACTCTTATGTAGCTAAACACATATACGCTCGGAAGCGCAGTTTTCTATAGTTTAATGGTTTCATCTCGGTAGCAGTTTAATAGTAACAGGTTAATCACGGTAGTTTAACAGTTAGGAGGTTCATCTCGGTAGTTTCATCTCGGTATAACCTTCGTAATTTATAGTCTACACGGCATCCTAGGCGGGCGATAATTTTAACTGCTGCGCATTTTTCATTTTTTCCGGCTGAGAAACATTGTTTTTTGAATAAACAGTACTTATTCAGGCCAGGGTTAGCGAGATCTACTAAAACCGAAAGTGCCAGTATTTATCACGTACGTGATCTAACTACCCGATGCAAAATTAATTTACGTAGCCTGTCCCGGTGATTTGGTAGACAACTGCAGCTGCACAATGCCGGCAATAAGATTGGGAATCGAGATCGGATTTCGATATGTCGGTGTCACAGTGTATGATAAAGGTGTCCCCAGTATGCCGGTGCCCAAGTTCCCCGCCGTGGCCGCTTTTAGCGCGGCCAGCAGAACCGAATGGTATTTCGGCCTGGAAGCTCGCGGTTATCGCACGGACCCTAATTTCGAGTACCGTCCCAACATGAAAGCAATGCTGCTGGACTATGGTGGGCATGTGAACAAGGATCCGATATTACCCGAGCTACTACACCGGCTGTTTGCCTACGTCAAAGCCAGGGTGGAAATCGGAGGCCAGAACGAGGTGCACGGTGTTGCCGTGGTTCTGCCGCATAGTCTACAGGATAGTACCGAGATGCACCAGCTAGTGGTGGACGCTTGGCAACTCAACAATGTCAGTAACGTCTTCTGCATCTCTGACACCACCGCTATTCTTCTGGCGTATATCGCGCAGACCCTGGATCGCAATGCACTTAAAAAGTACTCCACCGAAGACTGCCATCTGATCGTCTGCAATGCCAACGAAGAGCACTTCCAGGTGGATGTCTTTGAGATTGTCAGCGACAACTACGTGGTCAAATATCAGAGTGCTGGGACTGGAAGTATGGTGCGAGATTGCTTACGTGCGTCACGCCACAGTCTTCTGGAGATGGTCTACAAGCAGTTGCAGAATGCCGGTATGCGCCCGCTAACCGATCCAATGCGCGCTGAATTCGAGAAAGACTGGCTAGAACAGATCGCCCAGTTCCATGACCCCCGTGTCCAACAGGTGAATATCTGCTCGCCGGCGCAGGATGTCACGGTGACGATAACTAGGGAAATGCATGATATGGTTTTGCAGCCTATTACTGATATCATTGAACAGCGGTTGACGGCTGAGTTAAGGGCTTTTGGGATCATGAATCCGGATACACTGCAGTGCGGCATTGTGGAGATTGTCCTGGTGGGTGAAAACTCAAGACTGCTGCTGCTACGCCGCGCACTGGAGAAACTGAAGAAGCCTCTAAACAAAATGGTTTCCAGCTATGTCGATGATGCGGAAGCCTTTGGCGCCGCCATCGCCAGTTATGTGGTGGGAAATGCTTATCAACAGCAGCAGTTGTACCGCCTACAGGAGGGTCTGGTCGTTAATATGGATAAGATCCTCGCAGCGATTGTACCGTCCCAGGAAACCAGCGTAGCCAGACCAGTCAGAGATATCTTCGTCAACAGTCGTCCGCCTTTTGTGTTATCTGGCCAGCTGTGCACGGTTGGACAGAAAGATATCGTATCCCTGGATTCCTGTAGCCTGATATTGTCCACCAAGCTGGTGAGAAACGCCAATTTGCATTATATCGAAGTAGTGTACAGTGATGCCGGCCAGAAGACAACGTACATGCGCATGCTGGTGGACAGAAGCCTGCTACTCCATGTCAAGGGCCGTGAGCAAACGGAGCAGACATTTGTACTAACCCATATTGCCGACCCTGAGCACACGGAGAGGACATTCCTCGTACTGCGAATTCCCTTTCGGTATCACGGCGGCACTACCCAGTGGTGTGAATTGTGGTTTCTCGCTGACGATCCACAGGAATATGACAAATTCATCGATGATTATGCGTCGCGTCTTAAAGAGATGACTTCGACCGTGGCTTCCGAAATTAATGGTAAACTTGATTGAGCTAGAGTGCACAACATCCGCTTGCGGAGATATGGGTGACATATAGGATACAAAACAGTTAACGCACATGTCACTTTTATCAACTGCTAAATACCACTTTCACAGAAACGTTTCACAATAACTTCAGAAACGAAACGATTAACTTTAAGCATCAATCGACAGAGGCGGCCTAATCACAGAGAAAATTTGGTCTAAGTTTGCCCCTATCGACTCTGTCCCCAATGCCGCATTTTCTCGTACAAGTTTCCTCGTACAATTTGCAAGTTATAACTATATTTATATGAACCGATCTTTTTCGAATTTTACATGTAAACAAACATAAAAATGAAAATCGCCTTTCACCAATCATTTTTTGCAGCTTTCCTAGTAAAATTAATATCGAATTCAGGTTTGATGATGATCGGCAGCCGAACCGAAAGACCGCCCGCAAAATCCATCCCGATGGGAAACAAATGGCACGAAATGACGCATTTCGTTGCTTTGTAGTTCTGCTCAACATCCATCCGTGGAACAGTTGACCCTTTTAAAACTAATGTGAAAAGCTACTTTCGAAATATCTTACTGCTACCATCGTATGAAGTGCTCCTGAAAACGGTGTTTTTGCTCTGTTAGGGGATGCAACAACCAGCTTAACTCAGACATCATCGTCCGCGTTTGTGGCTATCGTATCGGATAAGCTGCACGAAAAACATCCGTCGCAGGTTCCAAAGGATCGATACCATCCGAGCATTATCGTGGTTAGCAATTCACCACATGAAGGTCTTTATATAGCGGTTCAACAATGTCCCGAAGTCTCCGAGAACTGGCACGTCAGTGATACCGGCTTCACGATAGATCCACATTACAAGCAGAGGAAATCGAAGCATGATAGAAGCGCAATGGTTGTAGACTACGGTTCCAACGTCTGCGTCCGCATTTGCTTTCCAAATGAGACAACACGGGAATGCTTTCACAAAGCCTGTCTAGAATACCCGCCACCGGTGTAAGTTGGCTATACATTACATGTAATTAGCGTGCTGTACCTAACAAGCGCCTTTCGCTAAAACGTAGTTTAACAGGATAACTAGTGCCTGGTAATAACTGCTGCCATGTAAGCACAGTCGCAGTCTCGCAAACATTTTAGTATGCTATTGGACATCTAAAATCTGTAATTTTTTTGCAGAAACAATCGTTCTCTCCGTCCTATTTCCTACGTCCAGGAAACATGCAATTTGTGATATAAAGACCAAATTAGCACATATGTGACGCCAACGGCCTACAAACAGCCAAGGATTTTCTGCAATGTAAAATTTTCCAAGTTCATGCCCTGACGTTTAGATACGGATTCTGTTTCTCGTTGGATGTTTAGAGAATTTTTTATGTTTTGTCACTGCCATTATTATTCCATCTCTTACTAATTACTAGTTACTACCACTTCACAAAGCCCACTGACAAACCTGCCGCAACCAAGATTATCACATGCTGACACTTGAGGCACTGTGAAGTGTGAGCCGGCCTTTTTTTATGAACGCATTTTGCGGCTTCTGTGTAACGAAAACGTGAAATCATATTGTAGCCAGGCCGGCGATTATGCCTGTGATACAGAGGTTATTCCGGAAGATGTTTTCCTCTATTTTGCCGGGTCCCCATTTGTATCGATACAACAACGATATATTTTTGCTACATAACTTATTTTCTACACCTATTGAAGAAAAAAAGAATTTCCACTGTCGATGAAGAACTGATCCGACGAAAAATCCTCGAGCCGGCGCCATTTCGGGCACCCTGACCTCCGTCATCCCCAAAACATTTACAACAAGATATGATACTGAACGCTAATGATATCCTTGTTATTATCCTGATGTCAAAGCGCTTCAGAAACTTCGCTAATTAAACTAACAAACCCTTCGGCACGATACAAACTTTCTTCGCTTTCCAGTTCGCTCTGCCTGAAAAAAGCCCATTCCGTTGGGAGAATGCGATAAAACCAGTAACTTGAAACTAATAATGTTCTCGTTTGTCAGGTACGTAACAAGTTACGAGTATTTTTACCTCGGAGATAAATGACGGGGACAAAAGCTTTTCAGTAAGTAAATAAATGTAAATTGCACCGGAGCATGGCAGAGAGCTGAGCAGGGAATATGGAGTTGCTGGAAATATGCGATTGCGGACATTACCGACTTACCATTAACTAAACATTACAACCGCCCACTAAAAAAGCACACACTTAATACTGTCACGATCGGGTCACAGCAACTAGTTTGTAACTGTAATACTTTTCCTTCTATGGGATGGATGTCATAATAAGTGCTGAAACAAGCAACAACTACCCAGAAACGGCACGGTTCCACTTTCCAGTTGTTCGACGAAAATGTGTGCCAAACCCGTTCTTTCTTAAGACGTTGAAGTACTGCTGCTTGCCAGCTGACTTCCACACACGCATTGGTCGGCAACTATCAACTGAGCATTCGCCTCGTGGCGCCGTGTTTGTCGTATCATGTTTCCCAGGACGCACCGTAAATTTTTCGCAGTGGCGCGTTGTCTACTGTTTGATAGCAGGCACAAGTTAATCACTCTTCCCAGATCCGGTGCAATCTTTTCGCTGACCATCGCTGGAAGACGAAAGGTCATTCCGAACGAACGATCGAACGAGCGAAAGAAAAAAAGCTTTCTCATCAAAGTTTATTAGCAATTGAAGAAGTGCGGGTGGGCTGCGAAGCAGCACCGTGCCCGACTGATTTCCGTAAACTCATTCTCATCTTCACAGAAGGTAGAAATTCGGAACACAGACCGCCCACAGGCTACCGATTACAGCATCAGCTTTATCACTGACCAATCAATTAAAACAGCTTCTTTTTATTTCGGCAGCAGCCAGTACACAGAGCAATACGCTTGCGCAGATTAAGACTAATTAAAATGATTGAAGTTTAAACGTTAAAAAAACATAATTATTTGAATGTGATAACACTCATACTATAATACTCTGTAAGCATTCTCTGTACAATCCTTCTAACTACACACACTGTTTCTAAGTTGATATCGGCCATCCCCGGTTTATATATCGAGTGTTCGTTTATCGGTGTCTTAATTCTAATTTTATATCGGCCATCTGGAGTTAATATTTAAACAGTGTTAATCTTAAAACCGGAGGGGTGAATAACTTCGATTTTATATCGATGGAGAGTATGAAGAATCCTGCTGGTGTTGTGGAAAGTCGTCACGAAAATGGAGTGCGTGATTGTGACATAACAGTAGCAGTTTCAGACAGTCAAAGGGCCCCGGATTTTCAAGAGCTGGCAGACGGAACGAATGTGGCCCCTTTACCAAAGTCCTCCAAACCCCAGTTGCAGTGGGTTCCTCGGGTCCCGCAACTTTGCTTGATCCCTGCAGCGTCGATTCAGGTAATTCTGAAAATTAAATTATGAAGATCTATGAGAGAATACTTTTTCAATTTTACGATGCTGAGCCGCGAAGCATGACGTATTTTTTACAATAAATTACATTTACCCCCGGTTTATGTTTATCCAGTGTTCGCCTAGAACTCAATAAAGTTAAGTTAAGTGTTCGTTTATTGGTGATTTATTAATTTTATATCGGCCATCTGGAGTTAATATTTAAGCAGTTTTAATCTGAAAACTGGGTGGTGAAATGCATCGATTTCGCCCGTAAATTGCTTAGCTCACGGTACTGTACAGGTCAGCTGGTTGCTCACTCACGTAAAATGGACATCAGCACACGGTCAAAGCCGCAGAACCGGTTTTGCGGCTTTAGCCATGCGCACCTGATCGAGACACAGAACAGAGAAAGCGGCTGTTGCTGGTGAGCAAGCTGCTGGCCCGTAAAGCGAGTTTGAGCAATTTACGGGCGAAATCGATGTACTACGATTGCAATTCGATGGAGAAAATGGAGGATTCTGATGTTGTCGTGGAATTTCGTGGACAAAAGGGAGCGCGTAATTGTGGCACAATATTAGCAGTTTCAGAAAACGAAGTGGCCGTGAATTATTCATGCGCAGGCAAACGGAACGACCCATTTGCATTGAGTTCCACTGGTCCTGTAACTTTTCCCAATTCCAGTAGCGTCGATTCAGGTATTTTCTCAAAATTAAGATACTATCGCACTCAAAAGACATACTATTTTATTTTATACCTCGAAATAGTTGAAAACAAATTATTCTTGAGTCATTTCTTATTAATATTTCTTTTCTAAATTATTGTCATTTTTGTCTTAGTTTGCGTTATTGGCAATGTCAGTATTTTCCACTTTTCTGGTTCGTTTTTTTTAGAAGCGTCTTCTAATTAACTGAATAATTCAGATAATTACAGCCCGGAATCGACAGCTTCCGAACTTGACGGACTCCGATGCCTGCCCGTGGAAATTATGGCTGAGGCCTTCCAGTACCTGCAAACTGTGGACTGGCTGCGGACGGTGTGCGCCGGTTGGAACTGCATCCTCACATCTGCCGCATTGAAACGCTTGGTGCAAATTAAGCTCCCATCGGAAACGAGCGACCGCTCAGCTCGACGGCGCTTTTCCTTATCTTCCGGTGGCTCTGATTACATCGCTGATGTATGTGCACATCGCTGTTGCGGAAATCGTGATGCAGCCGTTACTTGGTCGGTGTGCAAGAAAGACCCTTTGGATTGGCTCTCATTTGACGAGTTTTTCCTGCCTGAGAAAATGCCAAGAGCCGACCGGAAAGTGTTCTTGGGAAATCTTGTACTAAAAGATCTTGCCTGCTGCATTGTGCCGTTTTACGAGTACGACTACATTGCCGCTCTTCAAAAGGCATTTGACTCGCTGGTGGCGATTTGTCGTAACTTGATCCTGAAGAACTTCACGTGCCAGGTTACAGCATCTTTCGCGGACGGTTGCGTACCGATAAGGCTGCGCATTCCCTTCGGAAGAATGAGTCACGAGCGGCGTCTCACTGTCACTGATTGGTGGGATATGATTGAGCAAAGCTGCCCTCTGCTAGACGATCAACAGAAGAATCATCTCTGCGATGTATTGGACGGCCGTGAACAGTGCAATCACACTGTTACCAAAAGCCTGCAGATGGTAAATCTACAACAATCTTGCAACGCCGTTGGAACTGCTGCGCCGTATAATTTATTATTGGGTTTTGCGCTTGCAGATTCAACGTGGGCGTCAGCATAAGGAACCTGCCGGAATCAGTTACTTGAATTTGAATCCTTCGGTAACAAACTTCTCTCTGTTGATGTGAGCCAGCTGACGCCAATGGTGCAGTATCTCATGTACTGTCGCATTACCAAGACAAACTTCGACGTTGAAGTGACATGGCCTACTTCTTAATGCCTTCCGTTCCTCTAAGCTCTGCCATTTCTGTTTGTCGGTTTATTGTTCACCGGCTTTCTTGCAATTTCGATTTGCAGTAGCTTTGTATTTTCTAACAGTGTTTTCCAGCGCTAATCACGGAAGAATGGGGTTTCCACAACTTCTTATGACCTTGAATTGTGAACGCGAACGTGTAAACTGTATTCAAACCATGTGCATAACCATTTTTACATCTTTGAAGCACTTTATAGGATAGCTGTTTGCACCAGCAACCGTGCAGTATTACTTGATAATAATAATGTTCGCGATGACCTTTCACGAAATATATAATAACCTACAGCCAACACATATGATTTATTTTCAGGTCTAGATGATAAACGGAAAAAATTTCTTTGAATTTCGGAAGAATTTTAATTGTTGGCTTGACGTACACTTGCAGAATCATTTCTCCTTAAAAGTTGTTGTACTGTTTATATTTTTTGGTATTTGTGTCATCAGCTTATCGAGATCGCATTGCTGAACACAAGCGCTGTAGGTTGTCATTATTTCTTGATTACGTACTGTGCCATTATGAAATCTTATAGTGGACCCCGCGCAAACTGCGCGGAGTAAATATGAGCGATGGGTTACAAAATGCAAAAGACACAAACTCACGAATACAAAATTAGCTTATAACTGGCAGACTCCGCGCGAATCGCGCGGAATAAGTCGGCTGTAAGTAAATTGTGCTATTATTTCCAGAACACACCGGTGTGCAAATCCAGTGACAATCAATGCTGGATTTATGTACGTTCTGTACAATGGAGTATAGCGTGCAACACATTTGCTGTCTTTAAATGTGTTTTAGCAAAATTAAAATTGTACCGCACGATGTCACGTATTCCACAACCCCGTGTACAGAATGTGAAACGGCTCCCAGTTGCCATACCGGAATCAGCGTGATCTTGGTACTACCTAATTCCATAAACCATGCAAACTGAAGTAGAAGTACTGTACTAATCTGGTATTACAAACGTTTAGGTATCCAGCAAAATTTTAAACAAAAAAATTGCTTGTACGCTGGTACAAATAACCAGCAGGGTTATTTGTACCATACCTTGTACCATGATTTTTATCTGCTTCACAAGAACTAAAATTGGGTAAATAATGATTATAAACCGAAACGGTTGAAAAACATTTAATAAATAACAGATAGATCTAGAACTATCTGTACAGTAAAATTGTACGTACACACCGTTTTCTCACTATCTGGTTGCATACTGCTGAACAACAAAGTGAGCCTACCGCTTCTTGAGGCAGCTACTTGACCACCAAGTGGTATCGGAGCAATTTCAAATTTTCTGGTTGGCTGTTACAATGTTCCGTAGACTTTGTATAGTAACTTTTTTCACAGTTTTCTTTATGACCTTATTGATTTCTCAAACAAACTAATTGTAAAAACCT